TTGCGCTCCAGTGCAATTTTCAGAGTTTCTTCTGACATCCGTTTTGGTCTTTTCTTCCTCTTCTGTCTTTGCAATGACCGTTTGCACTCTTTCTGGATGATACCCTTGATATCCTCCCACAACTCATCTGGCCTTCGTTCATTAGTGTTCAAAGCCTCAAATACATTCATGTACTTCAGTCAATTTAAGAAATAAAATATTTCCAAATCTGTTGAATATCTGAGTTCTTACAACTGCCAGATACTCTTCTAAGTATTGTATATATGGAAATGAACAACAATAACAAAAAATTCTCTAGGAGAGAATTTGTCATTGCCTGCTTATTATTGTATTCTGTCCATCTCAGGTATTTCATGTGGGTATGGATATTAGGTAAAATTGTTTTTATTAAAATTATAAGCAAATAAAAATCTGATAGACCCTGACAACATAAAGAGTATTTGTAAGTCCATTTGACTTAGTATTGTTCATTTGGCACACATTCCATCTCTAATGTTTAACTTTATTGTTTAGCCAAATTTTCAGTGTTTCAAAGATTTATTAAATCCATGAGAGAAAAGATTGAGGTTGCCTCAGATAATTTTCTGTGTGTCTTGTTTTTATAACAACGGCATGCTAAGAGAGTCTGATCTCTAACCTCACAAGAGGGAAAGATAATCCTCATCAATACTAGACAAGGTAGACTCCTTTGAGGTCACATGTACCGTCTCTCCAACCATTTTACAAATTCTGACACGAGCTGCCTTCCCACCGCACTCCTCCATTATTTGTTGTAGTATGGCCATACTCAGGATTAGTTTATTAGGGAAGAAATAGGTTATATAATTCAAAATCAAGAATGACTAGATACAGTTCTTTGGTCAGGACAGCTTCCTGTCTTGATTTTTGGCCCTTAGCCTCTTGACCTTGCCTTTGCCCTGTTTGTGCAGGTTTTACAAGGCTTTGTAAATCTGCCTGTAAGTGCAGCAGGGCACCCTATTCCAGCAGGAAGTTTCCTACCTGAAGTCACTAAGCTCTCACATTCTGTTGGTTAGTACACCCACTGCAGATCCCTGATTGTGTGGGCTTGGGAAGCTCACCAATCAATCTCACTGGTCTCCTAGTTCTGTTATTGTCCTTTCTCTACCACGGCTTTTCTCTGTCTTGCACCATCTTTACTGTTATTGCTTGTCCTCTTTGTTTTTCTGGTTCTAGGAAGCTTTTAGCATAGGACCATGGATCCAAAGATATGCTCCATACTGTTTCCATTTGATTGCATGGATCAAATCATGTTATGACTAACATCGAGAAGAATAGTAGCCCCTGAACCCTTAAATTGTGTTCATACAGGAGGCTATTGTGAGAACAGAGCAAGGAAACGCTACGTGGATTCCCCTACCTATTTAATCTGTATTCTGAGCTGGGCTGAATAAAGAATGTGGCATTAGAATTGGAAGAAGACTCATCAGTAATAATTGTTATGCAGAAGACACAACCAAGCTTGCTGAAAGTAAAGAAGCCTTAAAGCACTAGCTGCAGAAGGTTAAACACTTCAGCGTTCAGTGTGGATTATATTTCAACATCAAGGACACAAAAATTCTCACCACTGGCCCTGTAGGCAACATTATGGTAGATGGAGAAGAGATTGAAACTGTCAATGACTTTCTCTTACATCCATAATCAATATACTTGGTACCAGCATTCAGGAGATCAGGAGACATCTTACACTGGAAAAGTCTTCAGCCAGGCACTTCCCCAAATTAATGAGAAGCAGTGATGTTAGTTTGAGGACTAAGGTGTGCCTGATTCAAACCATAATCTTTTCAGTCACTTGCTATACTCCTGAGAGCTGGGCAGTGACTAAGGATGGCACAAGAAGAATTCATTCCTTTGAACTGTGGTATTGGAGAAGAGTACCAAATGTCTCATGGACTGCTAAAAGAACAGAAAGATAAGTCTTGGAGAAGGTGCAGTCAGAGTACTTCTTGGAGCCAAAGATAATTAAACTTTGCCTCACATACTTTGGGCATGTTGGTAGGAAAGGCTATTCATTGGAGAGGGATATCCTGCTTGGGAAGGTGGAGGGACAATGAAAGAGAGGAAGACCCTCGACCAGGTAGATTAACACAGTGATTGTGGCAATAGACACTAGTGTATTGGGGTTTGTGAGGATAGTACAGGATAGAACAGGGTTCAGATCTGTTGTTCATAGGATCACTGTGAGTTGTACTTGACTCTTTGGCATCTGACAACAGCATCTTCTTTTTTTGTTTATTTTTTTTTTTTTTGGTATTGAAGTCCTCTTTGCTTGAGATGGCTCATTTTTAGCCTAGTAGGAAGGCAAAACAGTTTAGTCTCCGTGTTAAGGTTTTATATACCTTATTTATGTGGTCCCATCACAACAGAGATTCTGTGTACCTTATTTGCATTATTAACATACTGCCCAGTCTCTATGAGAGGCCACAGTATGTGTGCCTAATTCCTCCCTATCATTATTGGTTAAAATAACAAACTAAGTGCCACAGATATACTGTAAGGAAAAACCACAAAATAGAAGACGAGTGTGTGTTTCAGTAACTTAGAGTCTTATGATGGGTTGGAAGCATGGAAAGAAACATCTGTGTTGTACTATAAAGAAAGCCATAAGCTAGAGTATGGTAAAATAGACTAGGTAGTAGAAATGAATAAACATACATGATAGCATTGGAAAATACAGAGACTCTCTGAACATTATTTTTATTTGATATTGTTTCAGATATCGTCAGATCCTGGAAAAAGCCATTCAGTTATCTGGGGCAGAACAACTTGAAGCTTTGAAAGCCTTTGTGGAAGCAAGTAAGTGTAGTGGAAATCACAATTTTTACTTTATCTTACACAGCTGGGACTTTAAATCTTGCTTGAGTCTTTTTAAAATACAAAATGATTACTGTTAATAATGATTGTAACTTTTTTGAGGAATAAAAAATTTTAAATTTTACATCTTTATAATTTTTTCAGTAAATTATCTTTAAAATTACATTCCCATTTGCAGTGTTCATTCTGTTGTACACTATTGTGTTGAAGGTTGCTGTGAGTTCAGTAGTACCTGATAGCATCACCAAAAAGTATAGTCTGTCTGGATTCAAATCCCGGTTTGCTGTTTTATTAGCTTTATGATCTTATGGCAGAAATTATTTGACTTTTCTTTGCCTTCTTTCCTTCTCTTTAAAATAGGTATAATGATCCTATAGGATTGTTAGGAGATTAAATGAGTTAATAACATAATAAAGTGCTTGATCCAAAACCTCTGTAAATGTCTATTAAAATTAATAAAATAAAATTAAAAAAACCAACAAAAAACAAACATAATAAAGTGCTTGGAATGGTACATGCTGTATATTTAGTGTCCACTGTCCACTCACTGCCATTAAGGCTGTTTATATTTATAGCTGAAGCTCCATTGGATTTCTGAGGCTGAAAATCACAAGTAGAGGAGGCTGCTCATCTTTTCCTTTGGAGCAGCTAGTGGATTCGGACTGTAGAAGTCCTGCTGTTGGGTTAGCAGCTCAGCTTCCTTTGGACTACGTCATCAGAGCTCTCTGTATAAGTTTTACATATCATTGTGTACTGTTGAGTTGGACCTGACCCATGGGAGATTGCCCATCCTTTTCCTACAGAGCAGCTGGTGGATTTCAACCATGTGCTTCAGGGTTGCAGTATGGTTTCTTAACACTGGGGTAATCTTAAGAACATTCTTTTTCAGTTGCGAACGAAACATTTCCCAAAGGTGTTCTTGTGGAAATGCTTAAGTGCTTATCTGCTAACCTAAAGTTTGACAATTTGAACCCATCAGAGAGTTAATAGGACTTGGCCATCTCTTCCTGTAAAGACTGCATCTTAAGAAACCATTTGAAAAAGTCCTATTCTGATTTAGAGGGTCACTGTGAGCCAGAATGAACTCATCAGCATTCAGCAGTAGTAACAGCAGAGAGTTCCATACTTAAAGACAGAGTCGCTTGCCCTCTAAATTCAAACATAGCCAGTTATAGTCAAAATTACTCAGTGTTCTGGCTGAATGCTATACAGAGTTAACAAAAATTAGTGACATTTGTTAGTGCTTTATAGTTCACAGTGTTTTTAATCCCATTATGCACTGTGTTTTCTGCTTTAGTAATACTTTGATTAGACAATACAAGTTTAATTATTCCTGTCTTAGAGTATTAATTTACCTATCTCAAGGACGTTGGGTGCCCTGGCCCGCGGGGATCTTCAGCGGTGACCCTAGGAGGGGAAGAACGAGAATGGGGGGGACAGGAGGCACAAAAGCAGGAAGACAAGTTGAATCTCCGATCAAGTCTTCTTTTTATTGAAAGCATTCACTATATATATGTATATATGTATATATGTATATATGTATATATGTATATATGTATATATGTATATAAAAGCACAATGGGGGGAGGAGAAGTACGCAATGGGGGAGAATAACATGTCGTTTCCAGTAAGCTGAAAGTTATCTGGTAAACAGAAACTTAGCAGGGCGTTCCCAGTAAACCAAAACCTATCCTCCCAGGGTGGGGCAACATGTCCAGACATGTCCTTAGAGAATTACAAAATGGCTTTCAGCTAGTTGAACTAGCAGTCTCCAACAGATCCTCCCTGTTTTTTATAATTATTTGAAGACTGCAAAAGCGCAACAGGCCTTTGGTGCTCTCCTGTTTGACCATGTATGAAACCGGCGCCTGTCTTAGGTTGGACACCGTACCTACTGATCTTACCCGTCATAGGCTAACCCAGCAGCTACGGTGGGGTGCCTATCTTAGGTTGAAACAGGGGCCGGTGTCTCTTACCCGTCTCTGGCTGCCCGGTTTATTAGCCTGTATCATCAAGGATTTTCTTTATTGGCCATTTGCAGTCTTTGATAATGGACTTGTATGGGATGGGAGGCTATGGATTCGACCTGCTGCTTGATAAAGTGTGTAAGTCTCTGAATTGCCCAGGGGCCAAAAGAAATAAGAAAAAGAAAGCCTTTTGAGGTCCCCAAAAAGGAGTGACTGGTCTTTGACCACGTCCCCTTAACTTTTAGGCCATAATTGAGTGATTATACATTCTTTTGCTTTAAATTTTGTCACAATATGCACTAACCCAATTAAAAACTTAGCCGTGTGGACTTCTTTTGTTGAAGCTACAGCAGAAGTAGAGACGGCAGCAATCATAGGGATAAGAGAAACAATTTCTACAATTACAAGTTCTACAGCTGCGGGGGCGGATGTGTCCTGCTGCCCACCTGTCACCGCTCGGGTCCCGCCCTGGCGCTGCGAGTCGAGGGTGCCCGGCCTCTTTTCTCCTTGAATAGTCCTGTGCCGGCTGGCTGTGAACAAAGCTGCAGAGAGCTCCGCTCTTCTGGGTTAAAATACTGTCACTTTGCATCTTCCCGAGGATATGGGTTTCAAGACTGCACTTTTCCTCTTGCTCTGATGTGGTGTTGTTTTGGGCTCGTTGTGTTGGGGTTTTTGGTGTTTCCCCCCCCTCCCATTTTAACGCAGTGCCTCTGCGCATCAAGTCCCTTACAGATACTATTTTGGAAACAAAACTGTAGATATTGCATTGGGGGAACGGGGCCACAGCCCCTGTCCTCTGCCTCGTTAAGCCTGCCCTCTGTGGTCTGAGTGACCCCCCTAGGTGGGAATGGGGACAGATGAGGTGTCCTAGCTGTGTAGAAATAGGCCATCTTATCTGAATGTTAGGGAGCTCTGGTGGCCTACTGGGGTAGCAGTCGTGCTGCCAACCCAGAGGCTTGTGTTTCTTCAAATCCACCAGCTCGTCCATGGGAGAAAAAGTGGGTATTCTCCTCCTGTGTAATTTACAGCCTCTGACAACCCCCTAGAGGGTCAGCGGGCGGTGATTCTAACTCAAGAGCAGAGTTTCTTGTTCTGTGGAGGAGGTTTGCTGTGTGCGGATGGTACGGCCACACTTCTCTGTGAGGTAAGAGCAGAAGCTTGGACAGGCAAGGAGAGCAGTAAGGAGGAGTCTGCTTGGACCCGAGGGTGGACAGCGTCCTATTGAAGACTTAGGAGGTGTGGTCAGGGTTTGCCCTTCAGATTTTGGTTTTCTTCTGGTTTTTTTTTTTTTTAACAACTATGGGTGTATCTTGCTCAGCAATCTGTCTGTGCCCCAAACACACCTCCTTGGTGACAAGGAGCAGCTGTTCCTATTGTCAAGGTTCCCTGCATGCTCAGTCTTGACATAGCTGTGGGCATCCATTCTAGGTGGTGGGTGTAGGGCCCCAGCCTCATTGGGTCAGCCCTATGGCTACTCTGTTCTGTCTGACACCTCAGGCCAGCAGGCGCTGTGGAGTGGAGCTCACAGAATCCTCCGAAGAGCAAGGGCCCCTGTGTCAGCAGACAGGAGTGCACTTGGGAATGTAGCGTGTCCTATTTTGAAACAGCCGCCTCCTTCCTGACCCCTGAGGGTGTTGAGAAGGGCACGTGGGGAAAGACAGTAGGCCACGTTGGGGACTGCGTTGGGGTTTCCAGTGGAGGGCATGTACATTGTGCAGCCCTCCTCACCATGCTCATTCGCACCAAAGTCCAAATCCACTGTGGTGGGGTCAGTTCCAGGTCACAGTGGAGCCATCACAGATTCTCGGCCTCAGGTTAGCAGCCCAGCTGCCTGTCCAGACCACACACCACTAGTCCGTGGAGGCAGAGATAATTCGTCTCACATACTTTAAGCATGTTGCTAGGAGAGGTTATTCCACAGAGAGGGACATCATGCTTAGAAAGGTGAAGAGGCAGTGAGAGAGGAAGACCCTCAAACCAAATGGAGTGACAGACTGACAGCAGCAGTGGGCTCAATCAAGTGTCAGAGATGATGAAGATGGCATAGGAGAGGACAGGGTTCAGAGCTGTTGTTCATAGCGTCGCCATGAGCCAGACTCGATTCCTTACACAGCACCTTACAGCATTTGTTCTTAGGTCCCACAGGGTGCCCTGTGACTTAGAGCAACTCTGTGGGCGGGAGACCCTGTGGGCTACTGTGAGCCTCGCTCTGGCCTGCACGTCCTCATGCCCTCTGGTGGCCTGAGCCTGTTGTAGCAGTCAGATCCACTCCTCTTGTCTTACAGGCCGCTGTTTGGCTGAAAGTTAAGCCATAAGGATGCATCTAGTCCCAGGTTCAAAGGCTGATTACGGGCCACGGTCTCAGAGGTCCTGAGTGTTGGAACAGACCTGGCCGGTTTTTGTGTGGGTTTTTTTTTTTTTTTGTTATACTAGTTTATTTTTGACAAGTTTATTATACTAGTTTATTTTTGTCTTCCTGTCAAACATTCTTCTAGGTGGTATAGCACTGGTCTGTGCGTTGCTGTATAGAGGTAACTCGTGGTTGCTGTGATGCTGAAGCCTGTGACAGTGATGTGCCAGTCGTGGTAATGGGCACCCATGGTGGACAGTGTTGGCTGGAGCTTTCCGACTAAATCAAGCCTGGGAGCAGGAGCGGCATCCACTTCCAAAATGGCTTGCCTCCGGAAACTCTATGTATGAACAGTGCTCAGGCTGTTTGTTCATAGGGTCACTATGAGTCGTCTATGACTCGACGGCATTAAACAACAACAACAGCTCTCTTGCTTCTTAATGATAACTTATACAACTCTTTTAAAATTTGCAAGCATTATTATCATACCAAATATCATTTAACTTTACGAATGTCATAACAAGAGGAGGGTTCTTAGAATAACTGAATCATCCTTGGTAACAGAGCTAATATAGTTAGAAATTTTACGGGAACAACTTACTTAAATTTTGGATAATCACCAGTGATTACCTTATTACCAATCAATAAGACATATGGTTCAAGTA